AAAGAGTGAAACGAAGAATAGAGGATGTTGAGACACGCGTTAAAAAATTTAATAAGCCGGCGTATGTTAATCAGCTTGCTCTATCTGCTGTGAGAGCACTCGTGCTTTCGTCTTTAACACACCTTGGAGAGAGAAAGAGAGAATCGCGGCTTGCCGACCAAATTTGGTAGTGACATTTTTCGGGCGTAACTGTTAATCCTATGCGTGTAGTACGTATGGCATATAACATGGCGAAATTAAATGTGACAGCAAAATTAGTCCAAGCCCTGCGAAATTTTCCAGTCAAATCGTTACAGGAGGAGCCTTAAGATATTAGAAACGATCTTCCCAATTCAGATTTCGTTATTTAAATACAGTATACATTTCACTTTTCAAAGACGCTTTTCTCTTTCTTGCCTCGTGATGTGATAAAAATACATTAAAAATGTGTATTTAAATGTCGATACATTATGTTGTAATTAAAAAATTTTTTTCCGAAAGTAGCTAATCATGTTATTGATCATGGGAATTTTAATTTATGTTAATTATGTGTTATTGTTCTCAGAAAATGAAGAATATATTACGTAAAAGAAACAGTGGTCCTCCAGCTAGACTAACGAGAGGACTCTCTCAGAAGGCTTTGGATACTCCAGATAGTTCCCCATCTCCAAAATCACCAACTAGAACTTTTCTCTTGGAAACACCAGTCCAATTTACCACGGTATGTGGAGAAAAGATATTCTTTTCATTATTTATATATCAAAAGATATAGACTTTCGTGGATTTCAAAAAACTATTAAAATAAAAAATATATTTTTTATTCAAAACTTTAATAAAAATTAACAAATTGTTTTTTTATATTGATAAAGATTAAGATTTTGCCCAATGTCGAAAGATATAAGTCTTAAAATCCATTATAAATTTAGGGCATGCAATCTCAGGAGAGGCATCTCTTTCTCTTTACTGATCTCCTGCTGATCGCGAAAGCACGCAGCGGTGGGAATTTCAAGTTGAAGCAGACCGTGAGGATGAGCGAGCTCTGGCTCACGTCGGGTCACATTGAGGACGTTGCGGAAACCAGCAAATCCGCGGAAACTAGCTTCGTTCTCGGCTGGCCTACCACAAATGTCGTGGCCACTTTCATGTGAGCACAAGCACTTGCATTTTATTTTCTAAAACTGCGCACGATAATCCAAGTTCCATGTGATAGACGAAGACATCAAGTAATAGAAACTCAGACAGTCGTTTTTTATTACGATTTAATTTATTCTTCCAGGACCGCTGCGGCGCGGGATCTTTGGTGGGGACGTCTAAACGATCTCGTACGGGAGGAGAGTATGAAGGAGCCGCCGCATACAAATATTCAAATCGTATATCACGACAACGACACGAACAGCGACTACGTAAGTGTGCCTGTCTTTTCAGACTCGTCTTCGCGCATACTCGAATTCACGGGAATGAATCGTTCGACTTCTATTTTTCTTCGAGAGAGTTGTCTTTTATTATCGCGGACGTCAGAGTCGAGTTTGAGTCGCCGTCGCCGACTATCTACTATCGGGTCGCGCATTGTACCGGCATTGCTTTAATCACCATTCATAATTCATTGATATTGTATAGATATAAGCTGCTAGGATCGCAAATGAATTTCCGTTAGATAAACCATGTCTATCATCCGGTAAACAAGTTTCAACGAATCAATAGTATGCCATATTATTCATCTCTTTGTAATATTTCCCTGTCGGCAAAAAAAAAAGAATACACACGTACTATTTTACATTTTACAGTGTAAGACGATCATGGTCGGTTCCGAGATGACAGCGCAGTCCTGTGTGAACATGGCGGTGCCGTTGTGGGACCTTCAAGGACCCTTCCAGTTGTGGGCCCGAACGTTCCCGGATGAGACGCCATATCCGCTGATAGGACACGAGCGACCATTTGCCGTGAAAATGTCGCGTCTACGACACATGCTGTCGGCGGATGAGGGTTTCGATCTGGAACATATCAACAACAGTGGCGTCGATCTGTGTCATTTTATCCTCAGACCCGTGATGAAAACGCCCGCGAAAAAGAACAACAGATCGAAAATAACCGGTCTGTTACGGCGCTCGCTATCGTTGAATCCCAGTCTCTTTGGCGTGAATTTGTCACGGCTGGATGAAAATGGCTTGCCTAAGCCCGTTCTGGTGATGCTGCAACAGCTGTTCGCAAAGGGCCCGTTCACACAGGGAATATTCCGAAAGTCCGCGAACGTTCGAATTGTTCGAGAGTTGCGAGATCAAATCGAATCTACGGGAGATTTCAACTGTCTAGAAGATGCGCCGATTATAGCTGTGGCGGCTTTGCTAAAGGAATTTTTAAGATCTCTACCAGATCCTCTCTTGACTTCTCATCTGTTTCCTCTCTGGATGGATAGCTTGGATACGCCGAATCCCGTCCAAACTATTAAAAGGTTTTACTATAAAGCCATTATAATAAAATTAATTTAATATATAATTTTTTTGAAAAATAGGAAAGTAAAACCAATTAAAACATTTTTCAGCATTCTAGATAGGCTTCCGAAGGCGAACTATACGTTACTGTCGCATTTAATCTGCGTGCTACATCATGTAGCGAGACGATCGAAACGTAATCTCATGTGTGCCAGTAATCTTGGCGTCTGCTGTGGTCCAAGTTTACTTTGGTCATCGAATCCGTCAGTGAACCAGAGCAGAGCGATTCCAACAATCACCGAAATGCTGATCCGTCATTGCGAGGATTTTTTCGGTGCCGGCGTCACGCAACTCCTCGGAGAAGACACACGTAGCGATAGCGGAGCCGAGGAAAGCACCGATAGTCTTCACTGTAAGTATGATAATATGATATCACTATTAGAGAATGTCAGAATATTATAAATTTAGAGAATATTAAAATATTAAAATATTACAAATTGTACTTTACAATGAATTAATTGAATTTTATATATTAAATTAAAATAGATTCTAATAAATATACGATGTCTTAATAAATTTTTTATGGTATAGCAGGTGGGATATCCTTGGATAGTCTAGATCTGACGGAGGCACCGCGGAGAGATCCCATGTCTCTGTCAAGAGACTCAGGCTTAACTTTGTCAGACTGCCAGTTATTTATTCCGGAATCGCCTGTAGGCTCGGAAGACTCTGCCCCGAACGCTCCATCGTCTAGTAATTATGATAAGCCTCTCGCGAAGGAGGAAAAGTCCAACAAATCCTACGTTCCGGTATATAGGTGCGGATGGGAAGAGAGGCTCAATGGTTACACGTCCGGTGGCCATAATCACGCGAATAGCACGGAGCATAACTTTCGAGAGGAAAAGGCTAACGCGTGTTACTCTAATCCACCCCAATCGTCCAATTTTCAGCGGCAGGACTGGTTACGGGCACAGCTCAAGAGAACACCCAGAACGAACAAGCTGGATGAGCATGAGCATCGAAAAGAAAGATTCGGCGATAAAGATATATACGATAGGGAGTATCTCAGACAAGACGCGATAAAGGAGAACGTGGAGAATTGCAAGACTTATCGGAGTAGGCAGTTGAACGTAACTTACGATATATTACCGGAAAATTACGATAGTAAAAGCTCGCAGCAAGATATTCGAAGCGCTGAACGGGTATCGATTCACGATTCGGAGCAGAGTCTGACAGGTGGCAGCGATACGCTCCGATCAGACAATGATCGCTACGAGTTTAAAAAGAAAGAGCGCTTCAGCGAGTTCAAAAAAGTCAAGCCCTCCGAAGTCCAGTATGTAAGTCTGGAGTCACCGATGGCAGAGAAAGAACGTCGTCGCCAAGCCCGTGATTGCGAACTATATGAGGATTACGTGAGAGTGAAAGCGATATATATGGAAGCGCTGAAATACTGCAAAAGTAAAGAAGCGAATGGTGAATCGGATGGTAAAATTAATTATTGCGAGGACAGAAGTCGATCGAGCGAAGTTTATGTAACCGCGGATGCGAATGATTCATATAAAAGCGTGATGATCGACAATCTCAGTGAAGACGAGCAGGAGGAAAGGACGTCATGGCCGGATACACCGCCGCCCTTGCCGCCGAGACTCAGGCATTTGCCGCCGGTACATATGAACCTCGAGGATAGGCACAAAGCAGCCGGTAGGTCCAGGTCTCTGCCACCGCCACCTCCTTATCGACCCCCGCCACAACCTCGCGCTCCCATCACCACAAGGCATTTGGGATTTGGTAGATCCGTCGTTGATGATGAAAGTTATGTTTGAGTACAGAAAACGGCGAATCTGTGCTACCTCGCAGGCCTAATCGAAGATCCCTGTCTATTATCATTTATCATTCAACATGTATAATGTCTAAGTCGTGGATCCGCTTTACGACAACTGAACCTAGTCCAAACACATACATGCGTAATACCGAGAACAATGAAGAAGCCGTGGCATTTGAAAGCGCATCATTGCAGTTTTTCTATAAGAGCGACAGATCGTCCTCTTTTGATCAAACTTAGAGATAACGAGATGAATGAAATAAAATTCTACATGTGAGACAGTAAAATGGAATTTGCTATCTATTTATGACCGGCAACAATAAGTCTTGGCCCGTATTCTCGTCGCACTTTTAACACTAAATGTCTTTATTCGATTTTCATCTTTGCTTTAAAACATAAATTTTTTTAAACATAAAAAAAAGTTTCGGTTTAAATGATCGTATTTAGGGCTAAATCGAGGATCCGGGCCTGTTATTCAGTGATTCAGGGTGCTTCCACGAGCGTTAGTTCATACTATATTAATATTTGCGTATTTAGGTAGCTAATTAAGCGTAGATTAAGTAACGGACAATGTTAGCGCCAAGACGATAATATGAGTAATTCTTTCTCTTCTTACATAAATAATCTTTGTAAAAATATCAGTAAAAAGATTGTCTACAAATGCGTCGAAGAAGTTTTGTGGAAACACAATCTGATGTTATCTATTAATAATACATTAATAGATACAACAGTTCATAAATATGTAACATTTTCTGTAATGTTTTATATTTATAACATCTTAACAAGCGGAGAATCCTTTATTCTTGTAAATTGATTTTAACAGATGTATTCTCTCTGAATCGAATGTACTTTCTTATCGATATTATCGATATGTGACATGTTTATATATTTTAAGTTTATAAAAAGATAGAGGACCAGTTGCGGGAACAATTACAATGATAAAGATCCATATGAGAATTCGATAAAATAAATTTATAGAGAGAGATTTGTCTATAATTTTACTCACGTAACTGGTATCAATTTGAAGCTGACTTTAAATTTACGAGAGTCGTCTTTTTCGGCGATCTATCTTTCTCTTTTTTTTAAACCGGCTTGTAAGCAATGTGTTCGTAGCTGTGTTTTAACAAAATCTCATTTTAATGGAATTATTATCTTTCAAGATGTTCTTTTCCACAGATGTGTTCACAAAATCTGTTATTGTGCTTACTTTGAGCAAAAACGACTTCTCCCTATAAGCAATAATAATAATAATAACAATATTTCGTTTCTGACAATCGTAATATGATTTGCAAATATAAGCCACTGTGCGTGTATAGTGCGATTATGTTCTTATTGTTAGCACATATAGGATACAAGAAACATTGGAGTGTTACTACATGATCAACCTTCTCGTTTTTTGTATATATTAAATTGTAAAATTATCTCTTTTATATCGTTAAACTTACGATACAATGTGTAACACCCATGAGATATGTATACTTATCTAAATTATATATGTTATGCTACAAAAACAAGCAAATATATATATATTTCGTATTTTATACACTTATGAGCTTTTTCAATACACAGCCCATTTCTTTTCATTATTCAGAAATAATCCTTTTCAGGAGAGATTACATTTATTCAATTTTATAAAAAAAAATTTACTGTAAAAAAAGATACATTATCTATTTTATTATTTGTATGAAAATTGATAGAGTACTTATTGAAATAAATGAGTGGTGATATATTAATATATCACATATATTTTTCATAGGATAAATTTTACAATGTATTTGTGATTTAAAAATCAAAAATTTTTAATGCAGGTCTTGATTAAATTACGGTGAGTTATCCGCTGTATTGAAAAGATTAATTTACTTCACAATTTTTAGAAAGGCACAGTACATACAAAATACTATAATTTATAAATAAAAATAAATATAACAGTGTTTTTTTATATCTAATAACATAAAAAATTCTTATACATCAATAATTGCTCATTATTTACTATTCCGATGTAGATTGTCAATACTGAAAAGTCATTCATATATATATTTTTTTTTCATTCATATATATTGAATAATATCATTCATATTTATTTTCATTCATATATATATGACGTAATGAATATTTTACTATAGTAAATTGTGGCATCACGTGATAGTACGATGCACGTGGTACTATCGTACTACTAGCTACTATGCTTGTATCAGCTGATGGTAATAATTTGTAATGTTTTCGTCTCTGCTCTTTCTGTTTGATTGCTCCTAAAAACAAAAATAATGAACAATATGCCGCAAATGTGGAACAAACTAATCAATACAATATATTACTTTAGATGCAATAAATTTGTGCCAGTTTCTTCGGTAGTAAGAAATATAGGTAATCATCATATTATGATATTTTACTTGAAACAAATTTTATTACTTTGGTTAGATTTTTGTTTGATGTTTTTCTACCATCACACATAAATGTAATTTAATAAACATGATGAGAAATTGATTAAGTATTAATGATATTATATAGATGTATAAAATAATTTGACATTTGTAGCTACTGTGAAACGATTTTATAGAAGAACGAATATACTTTCATGTGGTGATAAATTTGAGATTACGTTGGACCAGAGGAAGTTGAAGACACCGCAAGGTAGGGTATTTGAAGTAAACAGCAAACCCTTAGCTTTAGCGGTGGCTGCTGAATGGGATGCGCAGAAGGAGACTATCGATAGAGGAAGTATGCATTTGGTACGAAATCAGTACAATTATGTATAAGAAATTAATTTACTTTTTAATTTATTGTCCAACTACTTGGGCTTGCACTGTCATTTCGTATTTATCATCTAATGTAAGTGCGATAAAAGATTTACCAACACATTTTGCGGAAAAGAAAATTCAAAAAATGATGAAAATGATGAAATTTTAAATCTAGTACAAAGACATTCAATGTTATTTTAGTTATGTGACTACATTTAAATGTGTATAAAACTTTATTCTTAAGTTACAGATGCTTTGTGCACTGCCAATTCTGTTTACACATTTTATTTATATTCCAAATGTATGTTACACATGCTAATGTATTTGCAGACATCCTTATGCAATACTGTATTAGACAACCCACACAATTATACCAAGATAGATCTGGTCAATCATATAGTGAACTGTTTAGAAATGGATACAATTTTATTTTATTCAAGTGTAAGAAAGTATTTGTACAAATCTCCATGCCTTTTTCCCATATAACAATATGACATTTCGATTATAATGATTTTTGTGATTTTAGGAAGTGGACGAATTATATCAATTACAAGTTGAAAAGTGGGAACCTATAGTTCGATGGTTTTGTGATCATTACGATGTGGATATTGCAAGAACTCAGAGTATAGAAGCGCCTACTGTATCCGCGGAAACCAAAGCTGCTTTAACGAGGCATTTATTGTCCTATAATTTTAATAGTATTTATGGTATGTGATACAATTTTATGAAGAGAAACAAGATGAGTATCTTTTATCCATATATTAACTGTTATCTGTGTACATAGGTCTTGTGTATGCAGTGGATGGATTAAAGTCAGTTATTCTGACTCTTGCAACAGCTGCAAGAGTAATTAAAGTCTCGGAGGCTGTAAGTCTCTCACGACTAGAAGAAGAATATCAGGTATAGATATAGAAAACTTTGATTTTATTTATGATAGAAATGCCAATAGAAATCGCTTCTGTTATTTATCATTATTGTATGTTTATATGTTATCCTTATTATCCTTATATTTGCATAGATCTCTTATTGGGGCAATGTGGAATGGCATCACGAGTACAGCAGACATGATTTACAGGCGCGTCTATCGGCGGCAATGTTATTTGTATACTTGAACTCTCATTCCGCCACTTCGCGACCCAAAAATAACGTACCTAATGTAAGCTAATCCTATTCCGATTATTAAAGAACCATTACGTCAATAGATATAAAATTTGTAAGAACACAACCTGTTTACTGTAATATAACATTATCTGTAACATCGATATCGATCGGTTACTCCTTTGATGCTAATTAATATGAGCTAGGAGAAATCTTCTATACGCATCCAGAGAATTACTTTTAGCGATGAATCAGATAGGAACGGAACAATCAGGTCCGACCCACTCTTTTGTACAAATGCAGCTGAAAAGTTGATGAATTACATACATAACGTTATATAACATATGTGGTTTTTATATAGAACATTTCAAATCTTTCTTCTTTTTTCATGTAAGAATAGAATGGTTTATTTCTTTTGTATTACCTATACGATGCTCCATGATGCAAACACACCGCACCATTTTTGCACGAGTGGCGAATGCATTCATTGCGATTGCATTCGCCCACGCCGCGGCCGGTGGCAGGGCTGGAGCCGGTTAGCGGAAGAATTGAAGTATCTGTGCGCAACTCGACATCGAATATGCATCCGGAAAAGCCGGTGTGAAGAGGTAGATCATGCGGCAACGTCTCGAAGTTTTTCGATTTGTACCCACCTACGAAAAAATATCTTTATCTATTTAGCTAAGTTTAAAACGCTAAATGTCGTCTCACTTGAACTTCATACTTGTCTCCGATGTCAAGATCATTTTTAAATCACTTTAATTGTTTCAATGTTAGATATAAGTGATGAGAATTTAACTGCTTAGTGTAGTATAAAATATATGATGAAAGACGATCTTAGCTCTACTGACATGGTGCTAAATGTCAAGCTGCTCTTTTCCGCAACAACGTACCAATATAGAGAAAAGGCGATACATCGAGTTGAGTCATCGATCCTACCGCCTGACCGGTCACGTTCCCGAGACCCTCTACCGCAAGCCATGCCTCCTTGCCTCTCCTTCCAATCCTGAGAGTATATGTTTTACTTTTACCAGCCGATCCTGCCACGGTTAACGAGCTCAATGAATCGCTGGTGAAGATTCTTCGCACTCCTAATGAAAGATCAGAATGCAAGAGTGTAGTTCAAGCGATAACTATACTTTGATATTTTATTAATAGCAACCGATTTCAGTGTTTTTCTTGCAAGAAAAGAAAGTTTTACTCTATACATCAGAAAAAAACTTTATATATATATATATATGCACCATTATATAGATCTTCTAAAATATCAAATTATAATTTTTAAAAATCTACACTTATGCGAGATTTATTATACATATAATATGAATAGCTTCGAATATTGGGAGATTGGATTTTACGAATTCATTACTCACCAGAGCCTAAATCCCACGTGAGCATAATGTAGCCGCGCACGAATGTTATCGAGAGGTGATCCGAAACATCGCGACGCGAACCTTCCTGTCCGATATAAGCTACCAGGGAGATTTGATCAAATGTGCGCGGGATGAGTCGCAGCTTCAGCTCCATTGTGTCTTTTATCGAAGGCGACACGCCGTAGGCGATGTACGACGCGAAACCGGGGACGAGAACCGAGAAGGCCGGTCGCACTAGGATAGCATCTGAGAGAGAGCAAATTTATCCTATGTAGCTTGATATTGCATATTGCAATCTTATTGCATCGCCGTTCTATAGAATGTTTATTGAACATTCCGTTAGCTTATTATGTATATGATTTACCTTCTTCGCAGAAAAGCCCGTGGCTGCCGAGCGGACAAACGCAAATGAAACCAGTTCCTGGCGAGCTTACACACGTCGCACCCACCGAACAAGGATTGTCGTTGCACGCCGAATATTCGCACAAAGGCCCAGTGTATCTGTAAATAATCTTTGATGCTTATCATTGTGCCTTTTAAAACCTATTGCGAATATTCGAAAATCAAAGTTAAATTGCGGAAATTAAAAATTAATATCATAATTCTGATTCGTAATCCTATTTTTTTTATATGTCATTTCTTTTTATTAGACATACATAAAGATATTGAATATTATAATATATCAGAGAAGCAAAAAAGTTACCGACATCTTTACTTGCCAGATAATGAATATTTACCCAGCTACACATTTGCAGCGAATTCGACCCTCGTTTTCTTCACACGCGCCGAAATTCTGACACGGATTTGACAAGCACAAGAACGACGTGCATTCTTCAATCTGAAACGTTTCTACGGAGTCGTGAATAAAATGTCGCGAAATATCATTCACCTGTAATGCAATTTTTATTAGATATAAACTCTGCGCAATCATTCTGTATAAAAAGTGACGAACTTTCTGCTACGTGATACAAAACACGAATATTGAATTTAATTCTGAATAATATTTTACTTTAAAGGAATCCATGCAACCAATAATTCCCATAGCTACGTGAGGGAAATAATGCGAAAACGTTAATGGAATGCCTCCTATGTATAAATTGGCGTATTTTGGAACCATTCCTCGTTGTGGCAGTATTTGTTCGCCGGTTACGGCCATAGTGCCATTGACCAGCAATTTGGCAAAACACTTCTCGTTCTCATCATTGGCAACATATTGAAAGCTAGAAGAAAAAAAAAAAAAAGAAAAGAAAATATATATTTTTATATATAATTTGTATATAAAAAATTTTAGATATAAAAATTTATATTTATGTTTAAAATTAATAGAACCATCTAT